TATGTTGCCATATTTTTTGAATGGAAATAGAAAACAAGAAACGAAAATAAAAGTGAACAGGAAGTGTCCATCGAATTTTATTAATACAAGAACTTCTCGAAAGATGCCCAAAAAAATTCATACGGCCAAAACGAACCATACTATACTAAATACATTATCTCAAGTCTCAACAATATTATATTTGTGTGCGATGTATGCGCTTCAAACTCTTTATTTTTTATTTTTTGTGAAAGTGCATCAAACTTTTTGATTGCATCTTCTTTTGTACTACAAATACTCTAATTAGAATACAAAACTCATTGTTCAGACGATTCAACACAAGATTTCTCAAATATAAGGGCTCTTGCAGAAACTCCGATGTGCAATTCACGGCCTCTTTGAATTTGACCGTTGACCAGAAGGCATCGGTTAGATTATTGGCCTTTCACTTTTCAGCATAACCGGCTTCCGTACGGGACCAAGCACGCTTCTTCCTATTTGGAATTTTTTTTACGGTGGACTTATCTGACCTTTCGTTTTTCTTTGTGGGGTGGACCTATCTAACTCATGGAATTGGATTTCATTCATGGCATCTTTTAATTAATTCTCTAATTTGTTTACTCGTAGCCTACCATCTGATATTTTACAGTACACGTGGCGCTGTCCCATTTCTCTGGTGTGAAATGGTAATATTATTTTTACCGGCAATCGTGAATGAAGATTGAAGGGTACATATTAAAGAACAATAGACGGGACAAATATCTGTTTGGTGTCCTAGCAGCAACAACGGTAAGATTGGATCAAATATTCCACAGAAACAAAACGATTAGACGAACGTAACAATTGGTTATCCTCCATAATAGCGTGAAGTGCACTACATTTAGTGATAATTTAGCTTTACAGGTGATTTTGATTTTAATTTCCACGTTAAAGTATAGTTGGTTGTCGATTCATGGTTAATGGAGCAAATTCACCCCTGAACTCTTAAAGGTGTAAAAATATATGCATTCAATTTTCTCAAATGTTAGCAAAAAAATGACTCTTCTGATCTATCTAATTTTTTATTGACTGTAATACTCACCATATAAAAAAATGAATCGCTATTTGCCGCCCGCAGTTTTACTATTTGCCGCCCGTAGTTAGAAAAAAAAAAAGACGATTTTGCCCCTAACCCTATCCCACCCTCAACCCATCTGCCCCCCTTCAACCCTCCCTCCTCCTGCCTCCCTCCCACCGCCGGCGACCCTCCTCTTGCCGGCCCTCCCGCCGCCGCCGACTCCTCCCTCCTGCCAACCTCCTGCCGCCGACTCCTCCCTCCGCCGCTGCCGACTTCCTCGCTCGCTCTCGCCGCCGCCAACCTCCCAAGCTCGGCGGAGGGAATTTTTTTTTATTTTTTTTCAGTCGCCGTCCGACTGGCCGGAGCGGACGCCGTCCGACCGGCCAGAGCGGACGCGGTCCGACCGGCCGGATCGGACCCCGTCCGCCCGGTCTGATCGGACCCCGTCCGCCCGGTCTGGACGGACCCCGTCCATTCGGTCTGGACGGACCCCGTCCGCCCGGTCTGGTCGGACCGATCTGATTGGGTTTATGATTCGGTTTGAATGGTTCGGTTTAAATAAATATTTATTAGATTTATTTTAAATACAATTGTTAGTATCTTAATTAGTTTAATATTGATATTTGAATAATTAGTATATAATTGTTAATTTGACCACAGTTGGTTAAGGGAATTAGGGTTTGACTTAATTAGGGTTTGACCCGAATTAGGGTTTTACTAAATTATATATTATTTGACCACAGTTGGTTGAGGGAATTAGGGTTTGACTTAATTAGGGTTTGACCCGAATTAGGGTTTGATCTGAATTAAGGTTTGATTTAATTAGGGTTTGGCCCGAATTAAGGTTTGATATAATTAGGGTTTGACTTAATTAGGGTTTGACCCGAATTAGGGTTTGACTAAATTATATATTATTTTGACCATAGTTGTTTGAGGGAATTAGGGTTTGACTTAATTAGGGTTTGATTCGAATTAGGGTTTGACTTAATTAGGGTTTGAACACAGTTGAAATAATCTCACCCAAGATGACGGATAACAACAATAAGAATCAACTCGACTCAACTGGACCAATAATGACAATAAAGAAGGAAAGCATCTCATCCACCTCCTATACCTTATACTCCTCTGAAACCCTAAACCCTCATTCCCCTTGAATAGCTACCTTCAACCTCGATCCATCCAATCCTACTAGGAAATTATTTTAGAGGCAAAATCATCTCTTCCTCCACTACCAATAATATTTCGTCTCGTGGAAATATATGTGATAGGCTCAAGAAACTCCTAGTTACCACCCCCAGAGCCCTAAAAACACTTCGATGAAAGTTTTGGCACTATTCATCTCTTTTTGTCGGGAATGTCCGATTGATAAACAATCGATTCCAACACATTTGTATCCACATTTTAAGAGATCGATGAAAGTTTTAATATTTTTTCATGTCGGTGACTCTAGTAATTGGTAAAAGATGTTTTTGCCCGACCTTCCCCGAGCCGCAAAGAGTCCTCTTCGTGCCTCGATTCCTTGGAAGTTTTATAAAACATAATTTAGGTACGATGATCTTATTAAATATGAAATAAATACAATTAAAAAAGGTTTAATCAAAATTTATAAATATTTTATAACTATTCTACATAATTAAAATGAATTATTCATAAGTTTATACAATATTTATGATAATTTATGATTAAATATCCATTCTCTTATACACTACTTCAGATCATTTGTAATTATTTAACATACTATAATTATTTAATTGCTATTATACTGAATTTATTTATTTTAGCTCTATTTACATAATTATAAAATAAGTATGAATTAGTTTGTACAATATTTTTTATAATTTAATTTTTTTTCTTATGAATAATTTTTAGTTTTTCTAATTCATAAATATAATTAATAAACATACATATAATTATTAGCATGATATAATATTAAAAAAAATAGAAGATTGAGTTAAATAATTAATATCATTTAGCGACGAATTTTGTGACGGTTTTGAAACCGTCGCTAATGCACGGTCCGCTCGCCGGCGTCGGACGGGGTCCTCCCGCCGGCTGTGGTGATTTGGTTCTGGCGGTGGTGGCGATGTCGGCGATTTGGCGGCGGTGGTGGATTGGCGCCGGCGACAGTAGTGGGGGAATGGGGTTTGTTTTATAAAAAATGAACAAAGGGTAAAAATGTCATTTTAGTTTAATTTACGGGCGGCAAATAGTAAAGAGACGGGCGGCAAATAGTAACCCTCATAAAAAAGGAGACAGTCAAGGATATGTTCCGTTCCCTTCAAACTACAATCTCGTTTGTTTATTCAATGAAGTCTAATTAATTATTCACCAACATACATGCATGTAGTCCAACGATATCATAATAATAAAGTAACTTAATGACGTAAAAAAAAGACTCAAGGATCAAGTCTTTGAGTCTTGTTGATTCTTCTAAAAGTACCTTATTTTAATTTCCCCTTTCTCTTTGGAGAGATATAGTTTGTAAATTTTCCATATCATTTCCACTCCTCACTCATTCATTAAAGAAATTTGGAATCTTTTCAGTTTCAAAATCCATGATGTTTTGGAAACAAATATAAGTAGGGATGGAGAATGGGTGGGTTGGATGGATTTTAATTTTAAAATGACCTACTCATTTATTAACAAGTTGTTACAATTTTTGTTCGCAATCCACCCACACGCTATTTAGGGTAGGGTTGTGAGTTAACCCGCAAACCTAATTCTTCAACTAATAATTAGGCAAATTAACCAATATTTCTAATAAATTCATCGTAAATTAGTAAGTTGCATCAATTTAGACACCTCCAGTTAATGTGTCTCCTATGAAGATGTCTACAACTTGTATCAAATCTTTCATTACTTTATTATGTAAGGAAAGTTCACAGTTCTTTTAGACTTAGACACAATTAATAGTTTATAATTTGCATATCAATATCTAACGAACATTACACAACATAATGACCAATAGTATTACTGCAATAATATTATTTTTTTATTTATTTTAGAAGTACGATGACTATTCATTAGTATAAATTAGAAATAATTATTTTGTAAAGATGGGGTGCAAGTCATTCCAGTGGCCCGCAATCCACCCATCACACACCCGGTAAGTGCGGATAGAAATTTTTTTAATTCACAATCCATCTCATCAATCACCCATCAACCATACAAATTGAGTTGAGTTATTTGCGGGTGACTACATATCAAACTACATATTGCCCACCCTATATATATAGGTATATCCTAGTATTGATCTTATCGTCCCTTCAGGTTACTATCTCTAACCAACCCTTTAAAACAAATCAAGTAATAATCATACATGTAAAAAAAAAATCCGTAACTTTATTACAGTGTGTTCGTCCGTAGCTTCCTTGTAATTGCTGATACGATCGCATATCTTGTCTTTTCCTCCCTAACCCATTCCCCTTGAACACATCTCTGCCGCTAAACTAATCGTTAATTACAATCCTTACCCACTTAAGGACACAACACCGTGCATCTATGCTCCCTCTTGCTCTCACTTATTCCCACTACTCCCTAAATTTCCTCTTGTCTTGTTCGTGCTAAATGCCAAATCAACCCCTTAATCACACTCAGAAATACCCCGTAACCGGCAAACCCTCGGATAACACAACTCTAATCACCCTCTTACCCGCTGCCACTTGTCCCCTAATCCCCCAATTAAAAGACAAACACCCGATTAGTTAATTAATCACAATCAGAAAAGCCCTCTGCCGCCGCCCAGCGGGTAGCAACCCGAACCCGACCGTCTCTGCCTTAACCCGCCCACCACAGTCCACGCACTTCCCTCCCTCCTAGCGCTGCCCGCCACGTGTCTTCCTTACACGTGCGGCGTCCCCCAGCTGTGTATAAATACCAGCCCCACACCCCATTTCTCTTCTTAACCCGCCACCCAATTAAACCCGAACCAGGAAAACCCGAAAAAACAGAGAGATCGGAGAAAATGAGGAACGAGAAGGTTACATTGAAGAAGAAGATTAGAGGAATCAAGCTGGGGAGGAAAGTCGGGACGGCGTTCAGGTGGGTAATCCGACCGAGAAGCGCGATTCGGTCTATGAGGAACCCGATTTCGGGGATTTTGTCGATGATCCGGGTCCTGCAGAGGAGGGCTCTGGAGACGGTGAATGTTTCGGGTCGGAGGGATTGCGTCCAGCTGGGCCGGGTCAAACCGGTGGAGGATTCGCCGCCGCCGAAGGGCCACCTGGCGGTGTACGTGGGCGAATCCGACGACGACACGAGGCGGGTCGTGGTGCCCGTGATTTACTTCAACCACCCGCTGTTCGGGGAGCTGCTGGAGGAGGCGGAGCGGGTTTACGGGTTCGACCGGCCGGGCGGGATCAGCATCCCGATCGGGTATTCAAAGTTCGAGAAGGTGAAGATGAGGATCGACGCCTGGGACGGCGGGGTTGACCGCCGCCGGCGGGCGTTTCTGCCGGCGGTGCGGTTTTAGTTTAGATTAGATTGGATGGATTCGGTATAATCAGGAGATTTTATCTTAATTCCTTTTTCATCTTTTTTTCCATTATTAATTTTCTAAATGATGATGATCTGTTAATAGTAAGGGTTTGTGGATTCATCTGGATTTGGGGAATGGATAATGGAGATGGCTTATGGTGAAAAATACATTATAATTAGCTAAGTACGTTTAATTTCATATATGGGAAAAATCAGTGGTTTTAAGTACGTTTCTTTCCACTCCCATTGAATTACAATAACCAGCATAATGAGCATCGAAAATGTGATTAAATTCCCTAAGTTAGATTAATTAGGAGGTGGTGATGCAGTAAACGAACGGCAGGTCAATTAGAGACTGGAGTGGAGGTGGTGGTTGGGCTACGAAACCATGGAAAGGGAAATAAAGAATTTGTTATGTGAGGATTTTGGATTCTTTGCTAGATATTTTTCATTTGATGATGATGAAAGCAGGAATAGGAATGGGAACGGACAACACCAAAGGTAAGATAGAGAAACGGTAAAATTATCGCGATAGTGAAGGATTGGGAGTTGCAGATCTCAGGTTCGAATCCAAGTGAGGTACATTGGTATTTCTGGAGGTACAAGGTTGCTGGGAGCGAAGCTCCCGGTGATGTCGAATTTGATTGTAGGTGGCCCCCATATTTAGTAGGTGGCCCACATATTTAGTAGGACCCGCTGTCACAAAGTGGCACGTGTGGCTGAGGTTTCTGGGAAAATAAAAAAAATGGGAATGGAGAACGGGGGCGGACAGTGATTATCTATTATCTATCTAGTTTGAGTTTTATCTATCTATTAATACTCAGGTCGGATTCGAGTTGACAATAAAAATCATATCTATACACGATCTGGTATTCATGAATATCCACGAATAATAATTTTCTTTTATCCTCACAACTACTATTATGTTACTAATAGTAAGAATATTAATATTACAGAAGTAAAAAAAAACTATGAACAATAAATTACCAATACTAAGAGAGTAAGAGAAATAATAAAAAAGGAACACTAGTTCTTTAGAATTGATATGATACAAATATACTAGGAATACCGAATATATTAGAATAAAAAATGACAATTTTTATGAAATATTGTACATGCATGCATAGTCGATCGAGAGATTTTGGGTTGAAAGTAAGAAAATCATACCGGCCCGTTCCTTGTGATTTTCGGGTCAATTTTTATCCATACTACCAGATATTTTATTTAGTTGGGATTTTATCCTATATGATAGATCGGAGTTAGACTAGTAATCATATGATTTTACACAGAGAACATATGTAAGTCAAGAGAGCTAAATTAATATCAAATACATACACAATCTTTTTTTACCTAATACGATGCACAACATATTATTATTTTTCCTAGAAACTAATGATCTCGTACCCAATCTTTGGTTACATACGTGGAAGAAATTGAGCATATGATGGTTTTGGTTGGTAAGAGCAAGAGTTGATGTTTCGGATTCATTAATATTGAGGAACCTATAAATAAATTCATATATATACTATATTCCTAACTCCTTTCAACAAATCACAGATGCATACATGGAAAACATGGTAATCTTATCTTCTTCCTATTTCTTTACTTCTAATTAATCAATGTCAAGCTCATTGAATGGTCTAGTCCTTATCTTACTTCTTTGTTTCCGTATGTCGCTATAAGAGAAAATATTGAATTAAAAATATTGATTCCCAACCCTAATATGAGTATGTGATTCAAGTGGTTAACTGTAGGATTAATAGGTTATGACCCCTTTAAATTTTCGAACGTTTTGCTTTGTTATTTCCAAACGGTAAATTGACCAAGTAAACATTTTTTTTTTTGTCGTATACTTGATCAATTTTTCACTGCCTGGAGGAGTAAATTTCCCAGGGTATTGGAACGAACGGGATCATGCATGTGAATGCAGGATTGATCAAAGCATACAAATTAAAAAGCCTCTGAGAAAAGTCCAAAAAAGAGGAATTTCTTTCGTTATATCTTCTAATAAGAAAAACAAGCTAATTAATAAGAAAGTGGAGTTAGGGGCAGAAGAGGTCATCATATATATGGCTTTGTCCTTTAATTCTTTGTAGGACTTGAAAAAGACACCAACCAGAATTTCAATTGTATTTCTTGTTTCGCGTTTCCATTACTTGAGATCCCAACGCTGGCTTTAATTTGGTCGATCATCATATCTATGGATTTTTCCTCAAAAATTCCGTTACAAGTGGAAAACGAATCCGAACAATAATGACAGGTAGTGTACCTTCAAATGACCGGCATCGATCGGTACCAACTTACAGCTATACACTACCATGAATTTTCAGAAAATTAAACAAGAAATTGTCAATGACTATTAATGGATTATTCAAGATATATATTAACAAGAGTGATGTTTATTTTCTGTGACCATCATGTGAAATCGTACTTAATTTAATTTATTTTTAATAAAAAAGGATTTCATTAGTCACTTGATGAAATGTTATGTTCATCTGAGAATAAGAGATTTTAGATCAGTCTAATGAAAAATGTCATAACTTATACACTACGATTTCGACCAAAAAAATTTCATACAGAATGATAAATCGATAAATAATATTTAATGGTATCACATAGTTGAACCACAATTTCAGAATAAAATACTCTATCGATTGAACAACGATTTTACAATCATCGCTTTTGATCATAGTTGTTGCCCACATGCACAAGGAAGAGGACATGGACGTTAAGGGCACGTTTATGTCTCGAACCCGTAATTAACGAACCGGACAGGAAAAAAGATGACACTTATATATACCCAACTAGAAAAGCAAAAACTGTTTAACCAAGCTAAGCATCATCTTAGTTTAACGCAAGTGGGAAGAAGCTTCCCGCGAAACTACCGGAAAGCTGACCGTACGTAAACAACAAAAAAGCCGTACTGTGGCTTGTTAATTTATTAATTAGTCATATTTAAAAAAAACTCGGCAAAATCCATGAATTTTTTTTGGCTCAAATAAGAAAGAAAGAACGAAAACGACCAAAGAAATTAGGACACTCCATCTTTTTATATAGAAAGCACGAGCCGTGACCAAACTTCAAAACTATTAAAATCACGGTTCATGAAGGTATTAGGCACTGTAAGTAATATAAAATTTGCTTGTATTAAACAAAAAAAATATAAACATTTATTTTAACACCTAACATATGAAAAATAGTTCATAAATTAATAAAAACATAGTTCACTTGCTCATAAGGAGTTACTGAAAAGAATGAGTTAGTCGATAATGTTAATTTATCCTTTTTTTTTTATATTGTAACCTAGTTCCATCTAATTTTCAATAGACAATACCTGAATGTCATCTTACTCCACCGCTCCGTTCCAGATTCCTAACTCATCCCGAAATGATTGGGCAATACGTTTGGACATTGCCTAGCGTCTAGACATGTCTTATTGTAACTTAATTACGTACTCTTATTAAAATATACAAAACACTACTCACCGTCAATTTGATAACTCAAGTTTCGATGGTATCATCGGCACAATACGAAATTATAAAAATGTTTGAAGTGGATATTCTATACACATACGGTTCTCCAATGCAATTGAATTGCAAAAATAATTCGATTAGCAATTTGCAAAAAGATAATATGTTCCCCGCGATGAAATTATTATGAAGCCTTTACCGTCGGACTCAAAATACTGGTTTGTATTGGATGAATATCTAAAAAAATATATAAGTGTTTTCTCTAAATGCCCTCCAGGAATTTAAATTTCCCGTCCACCCATGTTGCCACGTAATTCTTGATTTTTCCTTTTTTTTTTGTTTTCGTCAAGACTTTTCTGATTTCTCTATAAAAAAATTCTTTTCTTCCCTTTTTTCATTAATTTATATTTTCACACACGTTTTCTTATCATTATTTTCGTTCCCTGATATAATGATAATCTTTAAATAAAAATAATTTTCAAATATATTAAAGTACTTCGGAAATACAACCCACTCCATGTCAGCCTTAAAACCAACCGCAATTTTCGGAACTGCACACAAAAAAAAAATCCTTTTATTTTATAGCAGTTCCTTCTTTTATTCGTTGTTTCTGTTTGAGGGTTTTGCCCAAAATCGATTTCCTTCTCCTAAATAAACGCCTCCAGGTTTATGTAAAAAAAATAAACGCCATCCAAGAAGAAGAAAAACTTCTCAATTACATTGAACCTAATATATATTTTTTGGATAATTTCCAACAAGAGTTCTTATAATCAAAGAACACCGAGGAAAAAAATAAAGAAAATTGAAGAGATAATATATACCTTCTGTGTTCATGGAGTGTTTCATGGAGAAACACTGAAAATCGTTCATGAGTAATATGTTATAGACCCAATTCATCTTATCATTTATACTAATTCGTTTATTGTTATGTTTAAATTATTTCCAAAGTTCTTTAATGTATTCCAAAATTCTTAGAAAAATGTTGATAATTCTTTGGGTAATCTTAATGTATTCATGAAGTCAATATGCTGGTTTTTCAACCGAACTCTCAACACTTGGTCAATCCCTAAAAGTGCATTAATCATATTACACTTTTTTTCTCCTTGGAGAGAGATAAACATTTGCATTTGATAAACATAGCCGCGAGCCAATTAATATTCATCGATTAAAAATCAAATGTCTAACTTAGAAGTATGTATTTTTTAAATTAAAGACTAAAAATTATTGGTTGAATTTAGATTTCTTTGTTGAGAAATAAACAATCACTTAATTACGATTCATAACCATATATTAAGAGACCACAAAGATATTCTTGAAAATGAATTAAAATAGGTTAAGTATAACTAGAAATTACTTAACTGGTAAGAAAAAATGCTATACTCACCCGGCCAGGAACAAAGCTAGTACCATACGTGCATAAGTTGAGGTAACATATATAGGAAGGTTCATTGATGAATGAGAAGTCAAACCTCCCAACCTTGTTCCGATCGAGTGGAGGGGTCATTTGAATTTCCCTTCGGTTGTACAAAAGCTGACTTCAGAAACAGGAAGGTTCACCCAACAAATAATTTCGTTCAGCGTTGACTCCTTTTGAAGGAAAAGTCGCACTATCATGGACCAATCATTTTGGAGCCGCCATTTCGGCAGGGAGGAACATGTCATGTCAACGAAGCACACTTTAACAACCACCGTGAATGGGCTACCTCTTCTCCACAGCAGGCCCACCCAACAACCATTTCGCACTAGTAGATGAGTAAGTCTCCCAGCCCAAAAGCCCAACGAGATCCAAAGCCCCGAGCCCAGAATGGAGCCAAATTCTACTGATCTTTTTTCATATAATTTCACGACCTTATAGGCCTATACATCCCATCCAAATTCACAGCAACAACGATAACCATAAGTCCATAACCCCCCTTATTTACATCACACATTCCAACTCTTATCGCTATTTAATCTTCCCTGCTATAGCATTACAACAATCTCTGAAATATATATAGAGATCAACTCGCCATCTTTCAAGCACTGAATCCGACGGTCACCGGGCTCGAATTACCGGCTGCATACCCTGCGCAAGCTACACCAGATGCTTCCTCCATAGTCGCCTCCGATATCCCACTGTTACAGATGTTGGCAAATGCTCTCATGTGCTTCATCCCGTACTGCGTCAACGACCCACACTTCCCCTCGAATGCTCTCACCTGCAAGAATTCCCCAGACGTACCACTCGTTAATGCTCATATTGTTGGCCACGAGTATCGAACCAGAACGATGATAATTCGAGATTGGATTAGCTCACCATTGGTTTCAAGCATTGCCAGTCGTCCACAAGAGGCGAACCGGCCTCCCTGACCTTGTTGAGCACATCCGGACCGTTTTTGGGTCCGAACAAGAGCGTCCCAACCAGCTCTATGCTGCCATCCAAGTGGTTCCTATATGTCACCGTCTTCCTGATCTCCTCCAGTATCGCTGCCTTCTTGGTCGATCTGTTCTCCGACCTCTTGTACTGGACAGAGAGAAGTACCATCACACGAATCATGTCATATACACATTTCATTTGGGTTGTTCCCTGGATTTATTGTATGGTTTATAGATGATTACAACAGTACTTACCATGTGCCACAAGAAGAGGAGCTCTGCATCTCTCTGGTTCACAACATCCATCCTCGACAACCCATCGTTGGGCGGTGGAGGGAGATTGACGCTGGCGGGATCGAACCCTTGGTACAGATAGAGCTTCTCCGGCTTGATCCCATGGCTCCCGTATTCCATCACGTGGGATCCGGCTGCGAATGTGTTGCCATTCGAGGTTCTCGACTTCACGGCCTTGTATTGTTGATTCACCGTCTCCCTCTTCAGATTGTGTGTCTCGCTGAATGCGCAAGCACGAAATTAGAAAGGATTGATCAGATGGCATATCTATCGATCGATTGTTCGTCATGGAACTTACTAATTAAGCACGAAAATGACTTGCAAGAAAGCATTATTGTTACCTGTCTTCCATCCAGGCGACGCTATAGAGATCACCGAGGCAAGTGATGTACTCTGGAGGAGGGGGAGGGTCCATGCCAGGGCAGTAGGTACCGAAGCTAGACTCCTGCGCGTTGGACGCAGTGGTCACATAAATGTTCAAGTCCTTGGGCATGATCCCTTCGAAGATGCTACCGCTCTCGCAGGCCTCCACATAGATCACCATTTCTTTGTATGTACCAGTTGCGTGCTTCTTCTTCAACACCTCGATGAAGTCCATCGCGTATAGGAAAGGCATGTTCGGCATCCCTGGACAGTTAAAGGAGCTCGCGGTCAAACATGATCAGTTACAACCTCTCCATCTGCTAGCTCACAACCTTTGTAACTTGGCTTTGTTACTACTACCCTAGTACTTACCGAGAACACCCGGGCCGCCATGGTCAGAATAGTACAAGAAAATCCGGTCGTTCGGCTTGCTAGCCACAACCTTTCCGCTCCCTCCTTTCACCGCAGCCTTGTCACCCATGATCACCGCGTACAGATTCTCCGCGGTCACATTCTCGCCCGTGTAATCCTGTCACACCCGGAAAAAACCAATCCAAGTCTTTAAGCTTTGGTAAGTTTCGAAATAAGTTGAAGCTTGAAGGCACAAGACTGTCACGCCCATAGTTCGAACTTAGGTGAATTTCATTCTACTCCAATTGACCAGATGGGTCACAAATTAACAAACAGCAGGAATGGGTTTCCATCAGGATAACTCAGACAGCCTACCAAGAAATCAATCTAATCTCATAATCATGACGTAAATCAATAGTTATTTTAAATCCTCCTGTAAGTCAACTTCTTACCAATTTACAGTCCAAGTTATAGTTTCGATTAAAAACAAAAGACTCTAGGAAGAAGGCCACCAAAAGCAGAAGTCTCTAGAGAACGAGTATCGTCCACATTTGGCCACTCAACATCCACAAAATCCAATAAAAACAGGCCACCAGCAGATGCTCAAATAGAATAAAGCAGCAGAATAAAAGAATCAAGCAATTGGATTAAACTATGCTAACCGAAAGATGAACAGCTCGAAATTCCCATCATGCTACTTTGAATCATGTTAAAGTAGGTCGCTCTCGACTTTGCAATATGAAATTCAGATATTTATCTCCTTTCCCCACCATAAACCAGTATTTGTTGGCCACTTGCAATGGTTAAATCAATTAAAAAAATGACGTAATATGGGCTGGATCCTAGGTTAGGACGCACATAGATTCAGTATTTTAATTAACCCCTTCATAATGACACCATTAATTAAGTAATTAAGCAAACCCCCCAGCAACAATCCTGGCCGTGAATTAATTAAATTTTATTGCTTGTCCCGAAATCAAAGATTTAAAATCATCAACCCTTTCCGAGTCCCTATCGAATACAATCCAACCACTCATCACTAATCAAGTACCTACTTACAAAAACAAACACAAAGTTCGTCCAACACTAAGTATCATTACACTTTATTTTAATAGACCCCAAAATCCCATAAACTAAAAACTCCTGGCTAACTCTTTCCTGTTTAGTCCTTAGACGCATATGTTCGAGACTACATCGAACCGGAAAATAACCCTCGTCGTGCGACCGGCTTATGGTAGATTGTGAGAATCGAACTCGAAACCATTCTATACCAACCCCGTGCCTAACTACAGAGTCGCTCAAATTGGGACTTCTCGGTAACTCTAGTTAAGTTTGAGTTGAGTTACGGAACAGTAACCGGTAGTTGAATTCGGCGGAAATTACAACTCTTTCAACATCAAATGATCTCGAAATTTGGAACACTCAAAAAGAGAAATTGAACTTGGACACTATGTAACAACTACTAATTAAGTTAGTGAAGTACGAAAGTTACCTTGGGGACGCCGGCGTAAAGGTCGTCGCCTTGCGGGTGGTTGATGATGGTCCCGGGCCTGGGATTGAGCTCGCTGTTAGCGATATCGTCGAACATGAACACCACAATGTTCTCCTCCTTCAACCCGCCTTTCTTGAGCAGCTGGTACGCGTGGCAAACATCGGCCTGATCATACATAACCACGAACTCATTAACCCGTCACTAAATCATCATTTGATTATTAATTAAACTAATAAGCACACCCAAATTCAATTCAATCGTACCTGGTGCCTGTAGTTTCCATACCCTTTCGAGCCGGCGACAAGAACCGCCCATCTCGTCCCGACTTCATCGTCGTCGGGACCCTTCTCGGTGGGCATCACGATTCCGGGCTGGAAGGGGTTCTTAGCCGGGAAGGCCTCCCCGGCGAGGAAAGACAGAGCGAGAAACAGAGGAAAGAAAGCAACTTTTGGAATCTCCATGGAAGACCTTTTTTTTCTTCCGTGGTGGGTTGTGGGGGTAGAGGAATTGGAGAAGGGGAAAGAGTGGAATTTAAAGGGGGAAGCGGTGAAGCAGGAATTAGGAAGCCATGCAAAAGGAGGAGCTGACACGTCGATGGAGAAGGTGGGTCCACCAGAACGCCAAGTGTGGGCTCTGTTTTAGCTCAGCTTACTCTGTTTTTTCTGCCTCTCTGCTCTGTTTTTTCGTTGGTGACGGTAAATTTGGGGAAGTGTGATCTTCTGGGTCGGATAATCGGCCGACGGTTTGGTTTGGGGGAAAGTTCAATTAACAAAATTTTGTCTGTGTGTGTTAATTGGCGTGTGGTTTGGGGGCTTGAAGGTGGTGTTGCTTCTTTGGGGAGGATTTACGGTTATGGAGGGAGGAAACTGTGAAACAGGGGAAAAAGAAAGGACACTTTTCTGATAGATGGTGAGGAGAGGGAGAGGTGTATTCTGGGTAGAATTGGAGTTACATAGTGAAAGGGATTTCGTGGGTTGATGGGTTTTCTTTTGTATCATTTGGGTTGGGGGGGATTGCTTCCTTTGACGGTGGACTGTTTTGAGGGAGAACAGACGGCAAAAGCTCGTCTTCTTATTTAACGTTCTTAATGATGAAAAGGAAAGTAGAAGAGTACAAATAACACACATCGACTATTACTCCATTCGTGTTTGGTTGTATAAATCTCTTGCAATTGGATTGTTATCGGTCCCTTAATATACGGTTGGAGTTTGCAACATGCATGGGTCATTAATTTTAGGGTAAATACAATTTAATATCCAAACCTTTTATTTTAAACAATATAATAACCAAACCTTTTCGAAAACAATCTAATATCCAAATCGTCAATTTTCTGTCCGTTTGACCGTTGGTTGACACTTCAAAAAAGCTTTGTTTAGGAGAAATTGCCACAATACAACTTTGTTTTCTTGTTTTGGCATTGCAGATGACTGAATAGTTAGATATTCTATACCATCATGGTGGAGTCATTGACTCATCGGGTTTGGAACCACGATATGTTGGTGGTTTTTCAGAGAAGATATCGATGGATATTGATGAAGCGTCGTACTTCGAACTTTTTTGAAGTGTCAACTAACGGTCAAACGAACGGAAAGTTGGCGATTTGGATATTAGATTGTTTTCGAAAAGGTTTGGCTATTATATTGTTTAAAATGAAAGGTTTGGATATTAAATTGTATTTACCCTTAATTTTATGGGAATTCAACTTGTTTTTTAAATCTACGGCTTTTAATCCGATAACATCAGTGTTTGTGAAATCGTATCATATCGACGGTTTCACTATAAACTCTTTTATAAGAGCCAACTAACATGTGATTTTTAGTGATATGAAATGGTCGAACCAAGATTAACCAACGATTTAACACAAAATACTCTATCACTAATTTTTCAATACAGTTTTTCAATCCTTTACATTAAATTTAGTTGTTGGAAAGTGAACTTGGAGAGTCGTTGTAAATTAAACAACAACAACCGCAAATAGTCTATGCTGAAATTCGTTAAGAAATTGGGGATGAGCTTCCGTCAAGAGAAATTTTGGATACATATGGTTAATAAATTAAAAGAGTAAATGATAATTAGTTTGGAGCAGAGTATGTTGAACAAACAAATTAATTGAGTGTGTGCATTTAGAACAAAAACAATTTTCACATAAACTCCACCTCATGACAACACATAGACATCTTTAATGTATGATCATGCAACCTACCAACATAAACTGATTTATACAGTTTTACTGGTATTGTCTATAATAACGAACCTATGAAGTATCAAAAGAGTTTTATACATACACATTAGATAAACAGAAAGATAAATAAAAAATTAACTGAAAAAATGGTACTTTGATATGATATTCTGTCCTAGCATACACGTATTGTTGTGTTGCTTTCCTTGAGAGAAAAAAGTAAGTCTAGGATCTCTTACACAAGAGAAATTTTGGAAGATGAACCGTGTGAGATATAGTGTAAATGTATTGTTTATTCGCTTGAGTCTGAAGGCAAGTTTTGATGGTTACTAGTTGGTGTTTTATGACCCATCAAGTTTCACTGGTGCCCAATTGTTGCTTTCAGAATTGAAGTTGTGAGGGACAATTTTGGGTAATTATCATAAATTGTCACAAATCTTTGCACTTAGTACAAAACAGTCACAAACCTTTAATTTGTAACTATTTGATAACAAAACTTTTTTACTTAGAACAAAACGGTCACAAATTAAACAGTGTGACCATTTCATACCAGTTCAAATTTTTGTTACAGTGTCGTTGCAAATTAGACTTTTGGTGACCGTTTTGTACAAATTAAGTTCAAAAGTTTGAACGCTCAATCACCGTTACAATTCACTCTAGTTGTATGGTGGTTTTGTTAATGTATGTGAATGATATTCTGTTGTTTAGGATGACAATGAGAGAACTCAATGGCTCACAAACGGGTTCCAGACTGCTTTTTAGTTGAAAAAACTATGTCTACTTTAATACTTTCTTGGTATCGAAATTGAAAGGTCAACTGAGGGCATTCTTATTCGGCAAAGCAAATATGTTGATGAACACATGACCTGACATCTTATATGTCGTTCAAGTGGTTAGTGTCATATACTTAACGAAGAAACTACCCGACCTCAAAACATGACCAACATTTAATTTGTAACGATTCGGTAACAAACCTTTGCAGTTAAAACAAAACGGTCATAAATTAAATAGCGGTGACCATTTTATACAATTTCAAAGTTTTGTTACCGTATTGTTACAAATTAAAGGTTTGTGACCATTTTGTACTAAGTGCAAAGGTTTGTTACCATTTATGCTAATTACCGACAATTTTGTCCTCTTAGCTCTTACACTCCTAACAATCAAGGAGAGTTAACTATGGCCAGTAAAAACATTTAAATGATTGTGGGAAAATTATAGGGATTTATTTCCAATTGTTTGTACAATAAGCTAGGATAGGTCCCTTGGTCAGACGGCAGTTAACCATAAGGTTGTAGGTTCAATCATCCTATAACTAAAATTTGTCAATGTTATTTCATGGCCTTTAAAAAAGATCGACGATGGAGAGTCTAGTTCGTTAATACAATTGAAGGTTCATGTGATATATCCACGACATGATGCTGTTACAACTTATGAATTAACACCGGATCACATATACATTGAAGAGATGTGTGACAAATCTAAGAACGACCCTTGCTAGATAGCTAAGTAGTCAGCAACACAATTAGACTCTCTATACACACGATATATCACCACACTTGCCAATCAAGGTTCGAGAGATTCCTAGAATGTGTTAACATAAGCTCGTACCTATGGTCATCCTCCCTATAATTGACAATGATAGCCATTGCAGTTGCCTAATCCAGAATCAACATAACTTTCGTGTATCCCGTTCTCCAAGAAATCCTTAAGGGTCGTTTGCTTGTGGGATTTGGGTGTTGTATTTGGCACCCAAATACCAAGCATTATGTATTTGATAAAAGAACATTGTTTGTTGAGGTATCCAAATCCAAATCCGTGGGCCCTACGATTTTGCAAACACCACATTTCATTTGGTATTTGCAAATATCACATTATGGAAGGCAAATTTTTGAGACCCAAATACCAAATGAACTAAATCCATGACAAAAATTCAACTAAATAAAAAATGTTATCTTTCAAATACAAAATGCAATAAATCCATCATAAATCCAAAGGTTTTCAAAACTCAAATCCTTCATTTTTAAATCCAACAAGCAAACGATTAGTCCCTCAGCGGCTCCTTTTAATTCCACACTAGTGAGTGATTGATCAAGTGCCTGGATTACACATACAGACAGGCCTTACTACACCTACCAAGATGGTCTGTAATGAAGCCTCCAACAATAACACGCCCTGATGGGGAGAGAGCTGATCCGTCAGTCTGGAGCTACATCCATCCTTCTACTGGAGGTTTCCATGTTACTTGCTGATTCAGATACGTCATAGGTGATATGCTTGTTGTTTTCATGATGCTTTGATGTTTATGGTCATTAATATTGAACCATCCTTTAATCTCGAAGAGAAGGCCTTGCTCCTAAAACTTGCGGTTGTTATGACTTCTTCGTTCCTTTGCTTTCAAAGGTTACAATACTAAGCCAAAATTCACTCCATTGTTTTGTCATTCATAAGGTTAGGAATCAACCATTCCTGGAAAGGGAGGCTCTAGCTGGTTACTTTATGCCACCCTGTGTCTCTGAGTTTGTTTCAAATTGCAGCAGTTCTGCCACATTTTTGGGTGATGTGTTATGTTGTTTCTTCGTTAGTCTTATAGAACGTGCAGGAGCTTTGATGTTTCACCGGTGCTTTTAAGAATTGAAGTTTTGGACGACAAATTTTCACACTCACATTCATATTAATCAATGACATTTAACGAAATAATCTACTATGCAATTGGTAACCAACAAGCTGGGATAGCTCAGTTGGTTAGAGCGTGTGGCTGTTAACCACAAGGTCGGAGGTTCGAACCCTCCTCTTAGCGATAGTTCGGTATTTTTTTTGCCTTCTCCCACCGAGAAGAAGAGATATCTCATATCAGTACAAACAATGAGGGCCGTTTTTCACTGCTCTTGAGAAATTGAACCAACCACCATAAAATCCGAAGGTTTCATATTCTGAGAAGTGAGAATACAATTCCATGAGAGAAGCAGTTCACATATTGGAAACAAATAGGGAACGCTTTTCTTTGTCCTCTCTCTTTCTAGTTCTACCTAAGAAGCTGGCAATTTCATGAAACATAACACCAGCTTTTTTTTCAGTATTTCCTCCTCCAGGAATGCCACTTTACTTTCATCTGGTACCACAACGGCGGCACGCCAAGGATCCCTCGCGACAACCTCGGATCAAACACATTAAACTCCACCTTCCTCAGAGTATCCAACAGAACTTTGGCAGGAACAGAAGGCAACAGCACCGGACGAGCCTCAACAGGCACCGTTCCAGCCAACTGACGAGCCTTCTCCAGATGAGCATTCGCCACGGACGCCATCTCAAACACAGCATCGCTCAAACTTCCCTCCCGTGATTCCAACTGAACGTATGACCTCCCTCCTTCTTTAACCAACAACCCATGTTTCAACGCCACCTCGATTGGTATATACGAGCCCTGACGACTCTTGCTTGCATGATACGGCAACGACCTGAGAAGCAAGAGTAGCCCACTCGCCTTACCAATGTGGGACGCAGCGTGGTCAGCTGCAGTAGACCTGATGCCACCGGATTGAAGGGTTGTGTACAGAAGGGTGGATACGGTGTCCTCAGCATATTTTTCCAGCTCGGATATGGAGTTTGGGATGTCATTGGGATCTCTCCTTGCGTCGTTGATCCTTGCCTCGACAGAACGTTTCAACCATCCTTTGCTGATTTTGTGGTCGGAGATTACTGATGCGAGGGCTTGTGCGACTGGCTGCTCGATTGACTTGCTGGAATATATCTTGTCAATTGCTTCTTGCCACCATATAAGGCGCATGAGACCAATTCTGGGATCTGATGCGACGTCCATGGCTTTGGAAGTTTCCACGTTGAAAGCACGGAGTGCAAAAGCTGCCTTTCGCGTGTCGGGAGGAAGCTCGAGAAGGCAGAGGTAGTGGTGGTAGTCATAGGTTCGGACTTGTTGTACGCAGAAAGAGAATGCTGACCGCAAGGTAGTGGAAGCGCCTTTCATCAAAGCAGCAGTGTGCTTCCCCCCCTGAAAATTTGTGTGGATAATTACGATTAGAAAAGCTGTCTCAAACAACAACGAAACTAAACTTTCTCATATTCATTTTGTCTGAACTCTAAAGAATCACATTTTCTAAAGAGAATCTTAACAACTACCATCTTTGCTGAACTTCCAAATATGCATAAAAACGCCTAAATTATTCTTAATACATAGTAATAATATGAGCAGCAACTGACTATGCACGGAGAGAAAGGACAAAAAGATAGTGCATACGCCATAGACCAAGCTTATACAGCAAATGAATAGCCCCTATAAATACTTTGTAATACAGTAACACATTAGTCTCCCAGGGTGACTGCGGAACACCAAGACATGATCATCGCCATAGCTCCAAGTCCTTAACCTAACTCTTAGAGCCCATAAATTACCTTGAAGGTGATTCACTATTGGAGGAGCTACAATAAAGTTCAATCCAAGACAAAGGGAAGGTTCACGTGATCCATGATCAGTAGTTCAATCTTTCTCTTTCAACCATTGCAGAACCCATTACGAATCCGAAACCATAATAACTAGCATGTGCAATGTGTGCATTGCGATATGCTAAAGACAGCAGAAAAGGAACGCATAACTGCAACACGTCAAAGATTGATAAACCACTACGATTATGGAACATCACAATCACTAAGAGGAGAGAAAGCAGCAAAATTTCCGGCACAAAGGGGACGGATACCATTCCCTCACGAGCATTTCAACAAACAGTTGCTGTGCATTCTATTTAGTAACACCCCCAATAGAAAATCGAAACCCAACCCAAAAAGGGAGGCTTTCCAGCATTATAGGAACTTCAAAGGGGAGAAACATCATTGAATTAGATGCAGGTCTGAAGAAAGACTCGATGATTTAAACCTAGAAAAGAAAGGAAATTCAGAAAGAAGGGCAAATTAGACTGCGAAAAACTCACCGGGTGCTAGGAGCGTTCTAGCTCGTGGAGCTGCAGATTATAGAGGGAATGTTATTGGAGCTTCCAATGTAAAAAATGCTAGCTTGTCTCAGATCGAAAGATGCACAATTGCACAGCAGCTACTAAACGTGACACGGTAGCTGCGCGGCCACGCTGACAGACAACACACGCCGCCTCACCGGGTCAATCTCACAGCCCCGCCGGGTTTTGCTTTTGTCTAATTAGGTAACTAGCCTTAAGGCCGGCCCATTGGCCGGATATGGTAGTAACCACCTAAGAAGCCTAATTGGCACCTAGCCTTCTATCATTTCTATAAAAAACAAATCACTTTGATTGGGGTTGCATAAACCATAGAAGTGGCAAATAGATTAGATTCATGGATTGGTTAATCTATGAATCAAATAAATTGGATCCAATGAATTGGTGGATTTATGACATAGTAATAGTATTCTCTAAATCCCACGGTATTCTGGGATGCACTTTCAAAGTTCAACATGCAACGTTAATGGTAAAATGACATAGTATTCTGTCAATCCCACAGTACTCTGGGATGCAGAACATGAACTAACAAATAACAATATCAATCTCAACCACCATAGCTTAAAATGGGTAGGAGGTTAATCTTAATAGTTGAAACATGGGAGCAAAATTGCATTATACGCAACTGCAAATCTGCTATAGTCAAAGAGCTACACCGTTATCTTATCTTACACCCCAACCCCCAATGGCATACACAACCTGTTAAATTCTGTTTCAGTAATTCTCTTTGGCATGAGCATAAGTGAGCAAAAAACCAATTGTTGTAGTTTTGAACCAACTGTTTCCCTATTCGACATAAAATACCAACACAATTCTATCTAATACACTCAGACAAACATGATAGAGATTATAAAGCAAAGAACCAAATCCTAGAATATTGATGATATATGCTCATAATGGCAGAATAATACAACCATCATTCATTCATCCCAAAAGCATGCGATTATAGGGATGCATCACAGATTGCTAAATCATTAGCTCTAAGAACTCTTAGTTACTCATGACAAATTGAAAAGTGAAAGGAATCTCACAGAGAGCCAATCAAAACTGGAAGCAGAAACCAGTGCCTTGGTAGCTTAGTTTGATACTCGATCTTGTTAATTGTTTAAATTGTGATAAGATAATATAACCAAGTTTGACATATAACAACACACCAATCCAAAGGCCAATAGAGCAGCAAAAGGATAACTTAGCCATTAAAAACTTGATAAATGTGTATCAACCATCACAAATGCATGTAGACCAATCATTGTCATCGCAAGCTGCAGCCAAGGGCAAATCGATCTGAACCTAAAAAGTATACACAGCAGCTATGGAGTTGTCAAACGAAGTGTAATCTGAACACCTGAGCAGGAAAATTTTGTTGCAATTTCGAACTGGAACTGACAACAGAAATTGAGAATTGTGAATAAATAAAGATGACGGTAAGAGAATAAGAGAAGAAAATACAAAATTAGAGAGGATTTCCACTTAGATCCTAATCCAAACCCTATATTGCCAATGGAAAATAATTGCACCCCTTTGTCATTAGGAGGGTTGGGTTATATTACGCTAGATCAGATAAGTGTAATGTGACAATCAAAGTAGCTTCACAATAAGCAAAAACCAGTTACAGTAGATGCAAAGGTACTTGTAACCACTCCGATATTCGTCTCACCAAGGAGAGGGAGTGGAGCTTTACAGTGAGAGGCAAAAATAGACACAATGTAGTCGTCTGGACTCCACAGCAAAAACAATGGAATTGGCAGCCAAGGAGATCACCGAAAGGCTGAGGGTGTTGAAGATGAGGCCAGAGAGTGCAGTTCCCGACTAAGAGCTAAATCAACAACTGGGTAGGGAGTTCCCATTCACGCCTACCTGCAGAGAAGAAGTGGCAAGCCTTTTCTTTAATACGATAAGTTTTAATAGAGGTGACCATATGGCTATACTACAAGAAACAAATTAGCACCCATATGTAATCTCACAATCAATGGAGCAGCAAATTTGGGAAGCACAATTGAAGATTACAACCAGAAAAGCATACAACAATAAGAAAACTAAAAGACCTACCAACTCTGAGCTGCAATTCTAGAAATCAAAGAAGCCGAGGCTTTAGAGTGAGTTTAAAATAGTAAATACCTAAAGTCGACTTTGCAACACAATATACAGATTGGATTTGGCTCGGTTAATGAGGGGCAGAGGGAACAGGTCACATCTAAGAACTCGACAATAAGCGATGATGGCTCTACCCTGGAATAAATTAGATGGCTGGAAGAGGGACTTCCACTCTTTATTGAGAACCAAAATGGATGGTGTCCGACGCCAATAAAGAAGAGGCTCCTCCCCGAATTGAAAGGTTAACAGCCCATGAAAATCGTAATCGCAGAAAGCGGGGCCAAGTGCACTCCAAAATCTGACCTGGTGAAGAGAATGGGGATATGTAAGCCCCGATAATACGCACACAGTGGTACACCCCAAACTTGAAAACCCCGACATAACAAAACCCAAGTAGGAATTAGTAGACAGCCAAAGCATGTTACCGATTAGGGAAGAGATGATTTGATTTTCATTCTGAGGAAAAAGAAGGTAAATTAATTGGAAGAAGAATAACTGGACATGAAAGCTCTCGTCTTTGCCGCACGAAAAAATTATTCAGGTCGACTTCCGCAAGCTGCGGGAAGGAGAGAGGAAACTGGAGGGCGAGCGATGAGTAGGGTTGAAAATGGGAAAAAATGGAAGCGGGAGATGCGCATAAGCTCTTCCGTAAGGGTGTCCGGCCGCGAAAAAGAACTGGGATAATTACTTAATTACTCTCACCGCAAATGAAGGAGAGAGCAGGAAATTTGAATCCCTGAAAAGTACACAAAAGTGTACAATATATTAATGGTGGATTGTGCTTCTCCGACGCCGTTCTAGCATCGACCGAGTTGAACAGAACCGTTGCGCTTTGGTGGGAAAGAGTTGGGCCGACATCATAGTAGATCGAGCTTGGTGCAGGAGAGTTTTAAACAGAGTGGGCTGGTAGTTTGGGCTGGCTGCTTTTGTGTAAAGTTGTGCGGCCCAAGCTACTCTAAATCGAGTTAATCAAAACCACCCGGTCTGTATCACGGTCGACCCGTTCCACTGGTCGGGAGGGGCAGACCGGAGAAGGTCAGAACTCAGAACAGGGAACCTTCGAGAACGCCCTCCCTTTTCTCCAAACCTCACTCCTTTTCCTTCACCACCATTGCCAGAACTTTCTCGTCTTCCTCTCCTCCTATAATTACCCTTCTTTCTACATCGTATCCCCTAATCCTACTTCAATTCTGCAAAACCCCTTTCTCCAATCAATTGAATTCGCAGTCTACGATGGCGGACGAAGCCAAAGCTAAGGGTAACGCGGCGTTCTCCGCCGGCGATTACACAACCGCCATCAAGCACTTCTCCGACGCCATCGCCCTCGCTCCCACCAACCACGTACTCTACTCCAACCGATCGGCGGCATACGCCTCCCTCCAGAAGTACGCCGACGCCTTGAACGACGCCAAGAAGACCGTCGAGCTCAAGCCCGACTGGTCCAAGGGCTACTCCCGCCTCGGCGCCGCTCATCTCGGCTTGACCCAGTATCAGGACGCTATTGTTGCGTACAAGAAAGGGCTCGACTTCGATCCCAACAACGATGCCTTGAAGTCTGGATTGGCAGATGCCGAATCCGCCGCCGCCTCGTCTTCTAGGTCTAGAGCTGCTCCTCAGAGCGCTAACCCGTTCGCCGATTCGTTCTCAGGGCCGGAGATGTGGGCAAAGCTCACAGCAGATCCCTCCACCAGGCCCTTCCTGCAGCAGCCGGATTTCGTCAAGATGATGCAGGACATTCAGAAGAATCCTAGCAATTTGAATTTGTACTTGAAGGACCAGCGGGTGATGCAGGCTCTAGGAGTCTTGCTCAATGTGAAGTTCATGTCGCCTAATGCCGGAGAAGACATGGACATTCCTGAGACGGAGGCTGAGTCTCCGCCGCCTCCGCCTCCCGAGAAGAAGCCGACAACGAACAATGCGCCTGTGGAGGAAAGGACTCGCGAGCCTGAGCCAGAGCCAATGGAGGTGCCGGAGGAGGAGAAGGAGAGGAAAGCGCAGGCTTTGAAGGAGAAGGAATTGGGTAATGCTGCTTACAAGAAGAAGGATTTTGAAACTGCCATTGCGCATTACACCAAGGCGATTGAGCTCTATGATGAGGATATCTCATTTATCACTAACCGTGCTGCTGTTTACTTGGAGATGGGCAAGGTAAGCATTTCTTTCGCTTAGTTTATTTAATTCCATCGATAAAATGGTTGCTAGAACTGACATCATGGATAGAAGAATTGTTGATAGAATTGCTATGACTACGATATGTTTAGTAATATGGAAATTGACGATGATACAATGTACTAAAGCCTACATACTCACAATACAGCTGGTATAAGCTAGTCATTTCAAGTATTTGTTTTTCCTTCTTTCATGTTTAGAATCCTGAAGGGCCTCAAGACGTGTTCTCCATCTGTTTGCCCTTCTTCTGTAGGCTGTGGTAGTAGTCTTAATAAGTTTATTATGTTAGTCTTAGGTTTAGGGGAGCAAGAACCTAAAGCTGTACCTCAATGGTCTGTAATCCTCGAAAGGCTTGAACTTTTTGTGCCGTGTTTCAGATTAGTAGTTCTCTAGTGTTGAGTTCAAATGTGTTTCTTTATGTCCACATTTTTGCTTGTGCAACGTTGATTTTTTCTGATGGCCGCTTTGTGTGATCTCTCAGTACGAAGACTGTATCAAAGACTGTGACAAGGCTGTGGAGCGTGGAAGGGAGCTTCGATCAGATTACAAGATGGTTGCAAGAGCTTTGACTAGGAAAGGTTCCGCCTTGGTGAAAATGGCCAAAACTTCAAAGGACTATGAACCTGCAATCGAGACCTTCCAAAAGGCCCTGACAGAACATCGTAACCCAGATACATTGAAGAAATTAAATGAAGCAGAGAAAGCGAAGAAGGATCTTGAACAGCAAGAGTACTTTGATCCAAAGTTGGCCGATGAGGCACGTGAGAAAGGTATACGCCCTATTCCCACTGGTTAAAATATCTCTGGATTCTTTCAATTGTCACCAAATTAACTATAATAATTCTCTGTGCAGGAAACGAATGTTTCAAGGAGCAAAAATACCCTGATGCCATCAAGCATTATACAGAAGCAATTAAGAGAAACCCAAAGGATCATAAGGTAAAACCATATCAATGGGTTGTCACAGTTATAAGCTCAATTGCTATATGAAAGTCATGACCTACTCGCGGTTTATGAATTTCAGGCATACAGCAATAGAGCGGCTTGTTACACGAAACTTGGTGCTATGCCTGAGGGTTTGAAGGATGCAGAAAAGTGCATTGAGCTAGACCCGGCTTTTGCCAAAGGTTACACAAGGAAGGGAGCTATTCAATTCTTCATGAAGGAGTACGAGAAGGCCTTGGAGACCTACCAAGAAGGTTTGAAATATGATTCTAAGAACCAAGAGTTGCTTGACGGTATAAGAAGGTATGCATCCGGTGGTAACCTTTTGCCTCGTCTAATTGATCTATGTGGTTTAAAGTTAAATATAATGGATTATGTTGTGTCCCAATTGTTTTGTAGATGCGTTGAGCAAATGAACAAGGCTAGCCGTGGGGATCTAAGCCCCGAAGAGCTGAAAGAGAGACAGGTTTGGAGCCTTATTTAGCTACTGAAACCTTGACTGCATAATTCAGAGATTTTTGAGATACATGTCTTGACTTTATTTCTACATTGTCGCAGGCGAAGGCAATGCATGACCCTGAAGTTCAAAACATCCTCTCCGATCCTGTCATGAGACAAGTAAAGCAACTTCTGAGTTTAATGTTTTTCTTGGTATCTATTCCTGCTTGTTTCTTTCAAAGTCTAATCTTTCTTCGACTTACCTCTGTCTTGGTGCTGCAGGTGTTGCAAGATATTCAGGAGGACCCAAAGGCAGCTCAGGAGCACATGAAGAACCCTATGGTGATGAACAAGATCCAAAAGCTTGTGAATGCTGGCATCATCCAAGTCCGATAAATATTGTGATGAATAATCTGTTTCTAGGCTGTGTCTGCAAAGTTTCTGCCCCAAGTATTTTTGTCATCCTCTTCTCTGGGTTAGATCATTGGAAATTGTAATCTTTTAGTCGTGAATTTGAACCTTACAGTGAACTGAGAACATTGTTTTTTTCTTCCTCTTTTCATATCGGGTGGAATTTTGAGATCGTCTGTTATGGTTGTGCCTCCCTTCATTCCGCCTCGGGTGAATCTGTTTCCGTGTGCTTCCGTCTCCTAGCAGCCCATTAGGGAGAATCCCTGGTAGCAACTAGCACGAGAGCGATTGAGGTCAGCGGCGATGGCGACATCGAGTTCTTCGTCGGACCACTTTCGAAGAAGCTTCCGGTGAAGGCGTTCGAGAAGATTCCTCAATGTCAAAAAAGCAAGGCGTTGGCTCTCTTGGGATCGATTTGAGGTTTTTACATTATATTGGGGATCTCATCTATCTCGTGGCCTTTCTTATTCTGCATCGCATCTAGTGAAGAATGGAAAGGGGGATGAACCTCTCCAAAGCCTACGCGGTCTCCTATGCCGCCGGCTCAGCAAAGTGGCGAGAATTGTTCTTCTCGGCAGCTTGGGTCGGAGAAGAAGAAGCTGAAGAAGTTCCTGTCGATGTGTCTCGGTGTGGACCAAGAAGAACAGAGGATAGATATCGGCGGTGGAATCGAGATCTTTCTGGCAATTGAAGATAAATTCTTAGCCAAATTTCCAGTAAGGAAAGATATCCAGCCTGGCGAGTGAAAGCTGTGTTCCCAGAAAGTCTGTTTCGGTTGCACCTTTTCATCGGAAGATCGTCGGAGGTCGTCCGTCATCGACGACGGCGATTGATTCCTACACAGGGCATTTAAGTCAACATTCAATGGAGTTAAAAACTTCATCTTTAATAGCATTTACAGGGCTAAACACACAGTAACGGCCGGCGCCGGAAAGGCCATAATTGAGCCATTAAGTCGTCAAATTAATGACGAAACGGAGCAAGCTAAGGCTCCGAAAATCAGATCCTTCTATGGCATCTGCTATGGGGTTTTAAGACCTCAAATTAACCGCCACATTTACAGGCGTGAATCATGGAGAAATTTGAACTTCAAATTATTAAGCTCTGACTACCTCAATGAACAATGACTCTCAATGTAAAATATGACGATAGGATCCGAGGCCCTTGTCCCCTAGACGTTGATATCGCCCAATTTAATTCACCCAGAGGCTATAATTTCAGCGATGAGTTTGGAAATTTTAGAACCCGAATTACGATGGTTGTCATCGACTAGAACTTCTCTGAGAAGATATGAGACATAATGGTTGCACGTCGTAGCTCTCTATAACTTCCAATCACCGTCGATCATTTCTACAGTCCCGGGCAAACTTTCGGCGACGGTGTCATGTTGATAACATTAATGGCAAATTCTATTAATGGTGAGAATTTTGAATTTAATTGATGCATCTGAGTATTAAACTGCAGTTTTAACTTCCCAGAAGACGATTTAGAGAGCTCCTTTCGGGTGGGCTGATTCTATGGCATCAAAATAATTCCAGTTAATTTCAATTTCAACTAAATGACTTCATTTCCTCGGCCCCGACTGTGAATTTCAGTCTCTGGTGGCGACATGTTATGCTCTCTGAGCACCCCCAAACTCATATTCTCCTATACGTTTGTGTATTGTGGAGGATCTGGAAGTCTAGAAGTAAGGTGGTCTTTGAGCATTTCCAACCTCATGCCCAGTCTCTCGCTCGTCAATGTTTTTTCCAAGTTCGTGAACTGTCATCCTCCTTACCTTTGGTCCCTGCTCCTCCGCCCCAGCCCTCTTGCTCTCGCCGCTCTCCCTGGTCCCCTCCTCCTGATGGTTTTCTGAAGATCAACTTTGATGCTGCTGTTCGACCTTCCGGGTGCTCGTCTGGTCTAGTGGTGCGGAGTTCAGACGGGCATGTGGCTCTGGCGACTGGCAGTAGGGTCTCTTCACCCCGGTATTGCTGATCCCTACCTCGCAGAACTACTAGCTGCTAGAGACGCCATTTTCCTTTTGGTCTCCAAATCTCTGCATCGGGTCATCATAGAAGGAGATTCAGAGGTGGTGATTCGTCAGCTTCGTCAAGGTGTTTTCTCAGACTCTATTGGAGGTCCGGTGCTTCGGGATTGCTTCCTTCTCCTGTCCTCTGTTTCTGTATCCTTAGAGTTTAGGGCAGTTCCCCGGACTGCTAACAGGGCTGCCCATAGAGTGGCGCAAAAAGCCCTGTTACTCTCCCCCTTAGAGTTGCGCGCCTTTGACTTTGTTGGTTGGCTTCACTGATGTATTGGGTTGGGCAGGGTCTTGGTAGTTTGTATAGGTTCTCTCTTGACATTTCTTGGGGGAGAAAAAAAACTAGCACGAGAGCTGCTTGTTTGTAGTTGCTGGTAGTGAAACTTGACATCGACGTAGTTATTCATGTTTATGTCCGATACATTTGGATTTGTACTTTAAAATCCAGCAGATACGAACGATGCATTTGAAGCCGAATACACGATACTCCACTTGTCCATTTGAACAATTCGAATGAAACATGAATAGACTATACAAAGATCTATAAGATCAATTGGTCGAAACTTCAGTCTTAGATTCGTTAAAATTCAAAGCTCCATTGTTGAGTTTCGTTAATGGCTAAAGTTGAGAGACATCTATGTAATTTATTCAATCTCTGGCTTCGCTTGAGCTTGACCCAATATCTTCTGTTCAAACCAGCCAAGAAGCTCTGCAAAATGCACATTGTGAGAACTCTCCTTACACAATTATTGTCCCTTCCATCTTTCAATTTCACGTAAAGTACAACAATTTCCAACGTATAAATGAGTGTGAATTAAGTTACATTCGGACCGAATCCAGATACCTCAAGCCACCAAAACTATGCATTTAACACAGAAAACATAACAGCTCCACCAGCAGTAACCTGAAATCAAGCAGCAACTTCCTGCTCTTTCGTAGCGAGCTGGTTCTGGATATGCTGAGGCACAACATCGAATTTGGCCAACTGCATTGTGTATGAAGCCCGGCCTTTCGTCATTCCCCTCAGCGTGCTCACATACTGAAACATCTCAGCCAACGGCACGAGCGAATCAACCACCTGCAGTCCATTATACAATTCATTAAAACCATTCCGGAACAAGGACAATGAAAGACAATCATTACTATTGTTTCGTTCGCTTACCTTCAGGCCGCCAGGTTTATCACCAAAGCTATTGATCTGCCCTCTCCTGGAGTTCAAATCACCAATCACATCCCCCAAGTGTTCCTCCGGAGTCACAACTTCCACCTTCATTATCGGCTCGAGCATCTTAGGAGCAGCTTTCCTGATCCCTTCCCTGAACGCACCTCTCGCCGCCAGCTGGAATGCCAAAACACTCGAATCGACATCATGGTAGGACCCATCGGTTAATACAGCACGAACATCAACCACAGGGAAGCCTGCCAGAACTCCGTTGCTCATGCATTCTTCAAGCCCTTTCATCACTCCAGGGATGTACTCCCGTGGGACTGCCCCTCCCTTGATCTCGCTCTTGAACTCGTACCCTTGACCTGACTCCATGGGCTCGAACCGGACAGTGATGTCAGCGAACTGCCCTTGCCCACCTGATTGCTTCTTGTGAACGTACTTCACTTCGGCTATCTTGCTGATGCTCTCCCGGTAGTTCACCTGGGGCGCCCCAACATTGGCTTCCACCTTGAACTCTCTCTTCAGACGATCCACGATGATCTCGAGATGGAGCTCGCCCATCCCTTCGATCACTGTCTGATTGGTCTCGTCATCTCGAGAAAAATGGAAAGAAGGATCTTCCTGTGCAAGCTTGATCAATCCAGTTGCCATCTTGTCCACGTCAGCCTTGGTTTTTGGTTCAATTGCCACCTTTATGACCGGGTCAGGGAAGTCCATTCGCTCGAGAACAATCGGGTTCTCCGGGTCAGACAATGTTTCTCCAGTTATGGTGTCCTTTAGTCCAGCAAGAGCAACAATGTCTCCCGTCAAGACAACCCTAACATCCTCTCTACTATTGGCGTGCATCTCGAGAAGCCTTCCGATCCTCTCTTTCTTGCCCTTGTTTGCATTCATGACATAAGATCCTGCCGCAAGCTTCCCTGAATACACTCTAACGAATGTCAGAGATCCCACAAATGGATCGTTCATGATCTTGAATGCTAGACCGGAGAACGGCTCATCATCACTGGCAGCCCTTTCGAGCGTGATCTCTGGGTTCTCCGGATCAGTCCCTTTCATTGCTGGCAAGTCAACTGGGGAAGGGAGATAGTCAACAACTGCATCGAGCAAAGGCTGCACTCCTTTATTCTTGAAAGCTGAGCCACATAGAACAGGAACAAAGTTGCCTGCAATAGTTCCTTTTCTAATCAACTTCTTGATAGTTTCCTCATCAGGCTCAATTCCTTCTAAATAGCCTTCCATGGCCTCATCATCCAACTCGACAATCGTCTCAATCATCTGAGCTTGGTATTCCTGAGCCAATTCTTCGAGATCACCCGGAATATCCTGGTACTCAAACTTTGCACCCAGCTCTTCCCCAGACCAGACAATAGCTTTCATCCTGACAAGATCAACTACACCCTTGAAGCCATCTTCAGCACCAATCGGGATTTGAATCACCAAAGGCTTAGCCCCCAAGTTCGTAACAATCATATCCCTCGTCCTGAAAAAGTTGGCTCCAAGCCTATCCATCTTGTTCACAAAGCAAATTCTAGGCACGCCATACTTATCAGCCTGCCTCCACACGGTCTCCGACTGTGGCTCCACCCCGGCAACACTGTCGAACAAGCAGATTGCACCATCAAGAACTCGGAGAGCACGTTCGACTTCCAATGTGAAGTCCACATGGCCAGGGGTATCGATGATGTTGATTCGATGCTTGTTCCAGAAGGTGGTGGTGGCAGCTGAGGTAATGGTGATCCCTCTCTCTTGCTCTTGTTCCATCCAGTCCATGGTGGCGGTTCCCTCGTGCACCTCGCCAATCTTGTAGTTCCTACCCGTGTAATAGAGTACCCTCTCGGTTGTGGTGGTCTTTCCTGCGTCGATGTGAGCCATGATTCCTATGTTTCTGTAGTCTTTCAATGGCACCACACGCTTTCCCTCTGTCCAAGTATACATAGTTAAGCAAATTCGTATTAGTACTAACCTTACACTAGAATCAAATCAGTCCTTAATCCACAGACTCCATTAGTATGAAAACGATAACTGAACTTTCACCAACGTCATTTCCATCAAGTAACCTAAAAGGCTTAAACTCTCCCTGTGCAATTTCCTCGATTCGATGCAGAAGTATAACTATAAGCACCACTGACTTGTAAAGACCCAAACTTTGTCAATTACCCATAAACTGAACAGCCAAAACCAAAACAGAAGAATGACCAAACCATTCATAACCAGAGAAAACAGTCGCCAAATATATCAGGGGAATTTGAAAGTACGGTAGTAATTTTTCAATGAACGCATGCATTCGAAAGTAGAGAGGTAAGTGATGAGATAGAGAGATAAGAGATACCTTCGGCAGCAGCCATGGCGGAGACAGATAAGTTCCGCCGTCTTCTTTGTAGGGTTTTCCTGGAAATGGAGAATTGGGAGCGGGCATGGTGACCGCCGAGGAAGTGAGAAAGGGAGGAAGAGATAGGAGATGATGAAACTGAATGGCGAGGGGCAGGGAGACCCAGAAAGCGAACTGGGGCGGAGAGAGAGTTGTTAGATTTCCTCTGGGAGCCATGGAAGGAGCAGAGTGAGGAGGAAGACGAGGCCGTCAATCGAACTGTCTCTGCCGCCATTATTTTGGCTGTGGTTGCTCCTCTGGAGTTGAGGGGAGCTGAGCTGAGGATGCCCCTGTTTTTCTCTGGCTCTTCTGTTCTGGGCCTTGTACTTTCGGGTGGATGTTGTTCAAGGGGATAACGAGAAGCTTAAAACTTAAAACCTTTCTCCCTCAAAACGGAAAATAAATAAAGAAAATGAGAATATAGCTTCGTAAAATTAGTTTTTTCCGTCAAATCAATTTAAATCGTAAATTCAACAAATTCATTTATTTCTATTAGTTAATTCCAACAAATTCAATGTTATATTGTTCAGGGACCGAAAACTAAATAGGCAAAATACACTTGTATAGCCATAACTTTCATGGTTGTGACAAATATAGCCATATCTATTCGAAAACACAAAATAACCAATTCCGTCCATTTTGTTAACGGTGTTAGTTGACGGTCTGACTGTACTAACGGAAGAAGCTGATATGGCGATTTACTGTCCCCACTAACTAACGTGGATTAACACAAAATAAAATAAAAAATATTAATTTTGAAAAAAAGAAGAAAAAATATTTTTCTCTGAATCGGGATTTCTTCCGCTGCCGCTTCATCTCACCGGTCTCACCCCCTCTTCCGCTCTCTCCGACCCCTAGCCGCCGTCGCCGACTTGGCTATTTCCCTACCTTCAACTCCTCCTACCTCGGTTCACTGTCTGGCTACCCGTACGACTTCGTCCTCGCTTAAAAATCTCAATCCTAACTGGTCCAACAGGCCCCCGAAGGAGACGATTTTGCTGATGGCTGCGATTTTGAGCACTGGCTCGTGGTGATGGAGAAGCCGAGGGGCTTAATATCATCGACATCTACATCAAAACCACTGATATATACCACTGATTGATACTTTTGATGGGCTATTGGGCAATTGCTATTTCATTCTCTTTTATCTTATTCGATTTGGAGGTCGGGTTTGTGTCGACGCGACGACTTGGAGGTCTTTTATGGCTGAGCTTTCGTGGTCGCCGGAGTGAAGGTTTGGTCGGGCTGATCACGACTGGATCTACCGGTCCTCGACGATGATGATGCGGACGCGACGAGGAGCTGGAACGCGGCTAGAGCTCTTGGAGCGACTGGATCTACCGGCGCTCCCGTCGACGGCAACTTCTGTTGCAGCTGAACGTCGCCGGGATCTGGTTTGGGGAGACGGATTGAAGATTGCGTCGGAAGGATGGAGGGGTTTTGGGGAAATGAAGGCTGGGTTTGTGGATTTGGGAAGATGGGAAAAGGCAAATTTGGGAAATCAAAAGAGGGATCTCGATCTGGGTTTTTGGGAGGGAGAATGCACAGGAGAGAAAAGGGGGAAAGTTAGAAAAAATAATTTTTTAATTTTTTTAAATTTTAAAATTAATTATTTTGTAATTCAAAATGACGTGGCAATAATATGATGACTGGTCGTTGACGTGTGCGATGATTTGGTATCCTAGTCAGCCAAACGTTAACTTAACTGACGGAGTTTTTAACACCGTTAAAGTTTCTAACGGAAATGACTAGATTTGTCACATGACCATCCAGTTTGTTGGCTATTTTGTGTTTTCGAGTAGTTATGGCTATATTTGTCACAAACGTGGAAGTTATGGCTATACAAATCTATTTTGCCAACTAAATATTCCAATCAACGTACTATTTTCAAATTTTGACCAATTTTAAGTACAACTTTATATTGGTGGACTTCCAACTGGTTCGTGTCCAATACCGGTAGTACTAGCCGGTATTATCAACACAACAGCTCGTGCTTGCAACATAAGAAACTTAACAAGAACTTGGTCAGTTTATACTCCAATCCACTGTTGATGGGCACTGGAGTTATGATCCAGGAAATATTAAATAACAATATTATTAATATTCTCATAGATCAGAATAATACTCTCCATGACATTATCCACTCATACAGAGACCTCTGCTTTATTTTCCGTTTGGATAAATAAATATATGAATATACAAGAAAAAATGCATCACTAGAGGAAAAGAAATGGGCACGACATTTTACAGGCTGATGGCTCCCGGAGTTCCACGCCATGCCGAATTCATGTCCTCAGGCTCGGGATATAAACAGACTTACAGTCGAGACTCGAGAGGAAAGTTCTCCTTGTCAGGAAATATGATGGAGAAAAGCCCAATGGGCCAGCCGGCTTAATAGTAACTCACTGAACAAGGCCTTTTGGTTTGTGGGCTTATGCATCAAATTCAGACTCAGTAGTTGCTTTGAATGTTGTTCGCCATTGTTCGGTCGATACTTTATAAGAAGAATATGATGCCTATTGGTTTTTGGATGATTCGTACACTCTCTAACGCTAAAGTTAGTACAAAAAAGTATGCGTAAATTACACGTTTTTTTAATGGTTTTTAAATAAATCAGATAAGACTATAACTATATGGCTTTTATGACTTGTGTTATGGAGTCACTACTCGTGCACATTGCTTTGTGGATGGCTTTTTAGGTGTAACAGTTTTTTAAGCTTGCCCTCACAAATCGTTGGTAGCTATAGTTAGTGGATCATGTTGGATTCTTCGTATTCTACATGGGCCTCTTATATATAGCGATCACGGGGGGGCAAATACATGGATCCTAGCTAGCGAAGGCTTGGAGCCGGGAGCTGAGGACTGGCCGCTAAGTTTGCAAATTAATTAGAGACAAGACTCAAGAGACACCGTGGCCAAAAGATGGATCATATGGGGCTGAACTGATGAAACTGAGAACTCTCTACTTCTGTTTCTGCATTAGGGATGATCGGGTAACTAATCGGGGCAGTATGGAGCAATTGGGACAGATAGAAACGTCAAACGTCATTCTCTCCCACTGATTGTTGACTTATTATCCCTCTCTCTCTCTCTCTCTCTCGTCAGTTTCAATAACCATTACGTTGAATTAGCTAGCTAGCTTGGGTTGAGTAGACGCTTTCCATATTTCACTCTGTTCAGTTCGCAGGTTAATTAGCTAGGAATGTGCAAGACTCCAAAGTCCAATCCCTTTCTTGTTCCTGCATCCAGTAGTCCAGCACAACAGTAATAAGTTCTCAGTTTTCATTTTCCAAACACCGTGGTTTCTTGGTGGCCGTCGCTTTTTCCGACACGCAACAAAAATAGTTATGTGGAGAAAAGCCAAAGGTACGTTGTACCATATCTGAAAACCCTAGCTAACTCCCACATCTCAATTTCATCAACTGTTCCATTGCCTCACTCGCATTATTATTGGTAGATGAAGTGATTCATTCCATGCAGTTCCAGCATTAATGTTTCGGTTCCTCATTCCCCATCCTTCGCACGAGGAGTCAAAACTCTAAAGACAATCAAGACTTATTAGAATTGTAGTAGTATTTTACTCTCAATTCAAATCAAGCTAAACCCTAGGCACCGGTCGATTATTATAGTCATCGGTTTAATCCTGGGCACCGGTCGATTCTAACACATATTCAAATGATATTATCCACTGTTACGAGTTTAGGCCAATAATCACCTATTTGAAATTAGATAAATTTCATATTCAAGTCATAATTGGAAAGGTTCGTTCATCCAGCATTACTAGAATATTGAATTCAACTACTAATCATGATTCATGGAGGTCAATTGAACTATGGAGGGCATGTTTCACTTCTGTCTAATGCGTTTTTAGCTGACAAACAAAGCACTACCGAGTAAGAGTAACGTCTCCGCAAATTCTTTCTCCCAAACATTTGTATATTTTATAATTTCTCCAATTTTACTAGTTGCTCACTTGCTCTTCACTAGATTTTGTCCATTCAAGCCAACCTCTATAAAAGAGATATAAAAAGAAACAATTTTAAATTTTAGTTGGACTTTAGGTGTTCGTTTAGTTTTGGTGATTGTTTGGTTGAGATAGTTACAATGCATGTATTGTCCACAATGCATTGTTTTTTTTTAAAAAAAATTTCTGCACAAACTATACATGCATTGTTTGCTTAATGTGATGGAAACTATCACTCAAAATGAGTGATAATAATATCTCAAGTTTTTTGTGTAATTGTTGAGATTGTTTGTTTGAGATTGTTAAAGTATTTTCTTCTTCCAACTATGTTCCTACCTTTTGATGTGTTTTTCTTTTTCATATTAAAAATAAAGGGTATCTTATTTAAATACTAGAATAACTATCACAGAAAACAAACGATTTAAACTACAATGCATCAATTTTCTTATATACATGTATTGATAACAATGCATCTATTTAACTATCACCAAAACCAAACGAACCCTATAATATTATAGCTTCTCCGGCAGTGAACCATATTCATTGTTCTTTTATGAAAGCCAGTCGTCAGTTGTTGTAACAAATAGAAATTACAAAATACGTCAAACTTTTGATATTTTTTATAATTATAATCAAGTTTTAAAATAATAAAAAAGTATAGGTAGATTTGAAAGTTTATGTAACAAATATACTCATTTTGGTTTAAAACATTGGTGGCATTAGAGGTACCATGAAAAGATCGATAAACTGATGTGAACGTCGTGTACGTTTCAAATCGCCATGTCCAGTCACTTGTCATTCCCGCATATTTGAGAAATACATTTAAATAGTTAAATTTTTTTATACTAATAATATTAAACGGGAGCTTTAGAATGGATCACTCCACTCACGATAAAAGCTTAAGTGGACTAAATGGGCTGAGATCAGATGACTAAGGGGGGTCCCTTAGTCATATGGATAAGTGAATCTCCACCCTTACACCTCATTAAAATTCAAGGGCTCCTATTAATCCAATTTAATGAAGGGCAATATAGTAATTGCATATTTAATTTTAATTTTTAATTATAAAAAAATAAAAACAAATTAACGCCGCCGTTCCGTCCCCGTCCCTTCACGTCGGATCCCATCCGCCTCTGATGGGCGCCATTATTTGGGGAATTTCCCCCCCGAGAGAGAGAGCTCCACCCTTACACCTCATTAAAATCCAAGGGCTCCTATTAATCCAATTTAATGAAGGGCAATATAGTAATTGCATATTTAATTTTAATTTTTAATTATAAAAAAATAAAAACAAATTAACGTCGTCGTTCCGTCCCCGTCCCTTCACGTCGGATCCCGTCCGCCTCTGATGGGCGCCATTATTTGGGGAATTTCCCCCCC